AGCCCGATGCGGGGCTCGATCCCAGGACCCTGGGATCATGACCCGAGCTGAAGGCAGACGCTTAACCGACTGAGCCACCCAGGCGCCCCTCATCCGTTCATTTTTCAACAAACTTCTGTGAAAAACGTGTCCAGTGTACAGACTGTGGGGCATTTAAAGAGGCAGAATGAAAAGTTGGAGATGGTAGTTGAGTGAAGCTGGAAATATCCTCTGAAGGCCCCCCACCCCCCCCCGCCCCTTGTGGGTCTAAGGAACTCAGAAAACACAAATTTGAAATAAAGCAAGAGGGACAGGGCAAGATGGACTGGTTCCTGTGTGTCCGGCCATGCCACAGTGACTCAGCACCTACCACTGAGGAAGTCTTCGGGAAATATCCGAGGAAGCAGGGTGAGCAACACAGGGTGGAAGGAAAAAGAGAAAACGGGTGAGAGAGAGAACGAGTGAGCTCATACAGCCTGGAATGCAGATGTTGCGCCCACCAGGCAAGAGGCCAAGCACAATTAACCCGTTTTGAATGGGTAAGAGTACACCATGTTTAATAAATAGAGGCCTTGCTCTTTTATAAGACACAGGAGGACTGAGCAGGGTCCCAGGAACCACAGGAGAGATGGAAGCTGATGAATGGAGCATACTGTGACGGGGTCGTGGGGAGAGGTGATGGGGTAGTAAGTCAGTCCTCTGTTTGGAGGAGTTTTCTCGGCTTCTGCTCCTTCCCTCTCGCTCCCCACATGCCGTTCCTAAATAACAATCCCTAATTTGGAAGTGCCGTGCCAGAGAGAACCTGCTAGTTTCCTCTTGAGTAGACATGAGCCCCGTTAACCTTATTTTGCTGCATCTGAGGAATCTTAGGAGGGGAACACTTAAATCACACAGCATCTTGAACATTCAGGAACTTTCTAGAAAATACGAGGGAGAAGGGAGACATGGGGGTTAATCATCTTTTTTCCAAAGAAAGGCCTCAAAAATAGCCCTCAGAGGCTAACTAATTCCTGGTAGCATCTTCCTAAGATCCTAGCTTCCTACGATGGTTGGTTCTGCTCCAGAAAGAAAAATTTTTAATTTCACTTCACGAATAATTTTCACCTACTGTCTATGCAAAAGGAAGCACAGAATTTGCCAGAAAACTGGGGAATCCATCCTTAGGGGCAGGTTCTCCCGGCAGGTGCCCTCTCACGGAGATCCCACTGCAGCTTCGAGAAAGCCAGAGACTAGAGCCGCGTGGGTGAAGCCCGGGTGTTTGCATTTCATGCGCTTCAGTAAGCATTTCTGTGCCTGTCTCTGCTGGAGAGCACATGAGGGTCAGCTGTAAAGGAGGTTGGAAACGTGGTCCCCTCCCCTGGCTGGAGAGAGAGAGAGGCACATCCGTGAGCAAGTGGGAGAGAATGTGCTACCAACAACGTAAGATGTCTGCAGAACTTAGCAGCGTCTCCCGCCTGCCAGTCTGGCCCTGCGTAGAGGTTCAGCTGCCAAGCTCATGTCAGCAGGTTGGAGCTTGGTAGGGTCCCAGGGAGCTTGGCTGAGCTGGCCAGGCACGGAGCGAGGAAAAGGAGAGGCTGCGAGTGCTCGTGACAGTCGGCAAGAAAGCTGTGGGCAAGGACTGGACTTGAGAGGGAGTATTTCCGGGCATTCACGTGTCAGGCACTGTGCTACGTGCTTCTCAAATACTCTTTTCTTGCTCTCTCTCAGTAGTGATGATGATTCTGATCGCCACAGAGTTAGGGAGGTGACCAAAGCGGGGGTGGGTGGGAAGTGCCACCTTGTCAAAGCAAATTCAGTGTCCGTGTGATTTCATTTAAAAAAAACAAGGAGATCAAACTGGAAAAAAAAAAAAATCTTGTCCATCGGTAGCAGATCACGGCAGGTAGTCCGGGAAAGCGTGAGGGCATGTGGCTTCACAGCACTGAGAAGCATTGACCTTCCCTGCTTTACAGGTCAGCTACGCGCCGGGAAGGTGACCCCAGGCAGGTGGCACGGTTGCCAAGTTCCAGACAAGCTTCCAGCCAGGTCTCAGCTTGCTCTGTCACTGCCCTCAGATACTTGGTTCATCTGGGTTTAAAACTGGAGTCACTAGATGGAGCAAAGTTAGCACGTCAGCAGCTCATTATATCTTCATTAACTTGTCTTTTCATCAATTCAGTTGATAGTTACTACTGTTTACAGGGTGCAAGTGACTGTGTCCGTCAGGGGAGGCACACAGACGGGGGCAAACGCAGTCCCTGACGTGGAAAGCTCCGAGTCCAGTGTGGACATGACATCAAAGCTTTGTGCGCAGGCGCCTTGCCATCTCTGCCTGAACCCCAGTCTGCGCTCTCCAGGGCAGTCTGCTAAGCAATGCTTTCCCTCATGCATGGCCCCATGTTTCAGGGCATGAACTACCTGGAAGACCGGCGCTTGGTGCACCGCGACCTGGCAGCCAGAAATGTCCTGGTGAAGACACCACAGCATGTCAAGATCACAGATTTTGGGCTGGCCAAACTGCTTGGAGCCGAGGAGAAAGAATACCACGCAGAAGGAGGCAAAGTAAGAGGCTGGCTTGTAGATCGGCGAGCATTTTCTCACCAGCAGACTGACCGATGTAGGGGACGTTCTCAGAACGTTCTGGGTGAGGGCCCAGCGACTGCCACTGACACCTGGGTCTAGCCAGGGTCTTCTTCTGGAAGTACAGACCAGAGGGGCTGCTTTGAGAGCAGGATTTGCTGGGAGAGTGAGAATAGATGTTTCTATCGTGTCCAGAGGCCAAAGCCAATAAACACGAGCTCAGCTCCATCTTCGGGTGACCATTAGCCAAGGTTAGGTCTCAACCTCCCCGCTTCAGAAGGGCAGCTGGGAAATGTCACAGCTATTGAGGACATCTCAGAAATACGGAAAACTCCCCGTGCCGTTCCTAGAGCTCCCGAGGGTCTCTGTAACTCTTGGAGGGTTGGCTCCCTCCTCCCAGACAGACTTGGGGATCCTCCGGGGGGCTCTTTCCCAGCACGGGGGCGGGGGTGCAAGTCTCATTTTAGGCCCTCCAGTAGCTCTGAATCAGCTGTACCCCTCTTAAGTTTCTCTCTGACCTGGATGGCTCCAAGCAGTCAGCCAAGCAGCCAAACTCCCATAAACGTGGGGTGGCTAGGACCACAGTGCACCACCAGGACCCCCAGCCCGCAGCATGTGCACCCAGTTCACCAGAACTGCCCACAGACCAAAGGTCCTCAGCCGAGGCCTTCGTGAAACCACACCTGGGGCCGAACAGAATAGCCCTGTTTTCTACCAGATTTAAAACTTGCTCCTGCTGGGAGGGAGCGCTGGTCCTAGGGTATCAGGGTGGGGTGGCCTGGCTTTCCCACGTTTGTCACTTGTAATCTGTTTCAACGTGATTTAATTTTTTGCACCAGAGGGAAGCTAATGGTTATCTTATTACTTCCTCTCTCATCATTCCAAGGTGCCTATCAAGTGGATGGCTTTGGAATCAATTTTACACCGAATTTATACCCACCAAAGTGATGTGTGGAGCTATGGTGAGTCAAAACCTTGATGCTAATGAATGTGTACTGAGCCGAAGCCCGCTTGTATCGTTTGTTGATTTACGTTCTATGCTCTGTCATCCAAATACTTTCTTCCAAGACAGTGACTAATAATAGCGTAGTAGTTGCTGTCTATCCTACTGAGAAAACATGGCAAAGGAAATGGAGTCTGACTAGCATATTACATGTCACTGGAGATACTGGTGAGCTTGTCAAGGGTGGGGGCGGGTAACGGAGGGAAAGAGAGCTCGGACTTAGGAAGTGCCTGGACCTGCGACATCAAACCAAACTTGACCTCTTGCCATGGATGTGAAGTCAGCCAAAGGGAGGTGACAAATGGGGTTTTCCGGGTAGAGACGTGAGGTTTTGTGATGGACTAGCTCAGTGGCTATTGTTTCATGCAGTGAATGGTAGTCTTTGTGTATCAGAGAGAATGGCTTGACAAGAGGGCACTGTGAGGATGTGTCTGTGGGGGGGAAGAAAAAGAAGCAAGGGAAATAGTTACTGCTGGGAGCTCTAGTGAGGACATCTCATCAGGACTGATTCTCTGTTTCCCCTCCAAATCCCCCCGTGGCCCTGCACAGGCCCGGGCCCCTCCTCTCCAACACGCTTTCCCGTTCTTGCCTGATTGCCTTTGCACAAAGGATAGCTTGAGTCTACAAGGGCCTCGCCATTTAAGAAGGTGTCACTAACACATTCTCACAGGCTGCCATGTTTACACCTGTTCACGGTCGGTCCTCACGAGCCCAGCAATCTGCTGGAAGCCCGCAGAATAGCTCACCTGATACATTTCTCTGTGAATTATCAGTCTATTCCCACTGCTAAAGCAACGGGGGTGAGGGTGAGGGGCCACCCCATCTCCGTAGAAATGGGTATTTGGGGAGAGCAAGATCGAGGCAAATGTCCAAGAGGAATTTGGTTATTATCACAAAAACAAATCATTCAGGCTATCATCCACTTAGGGGCTTTTTTCATAGCATTTTAACTTCCTGATATTTTAAATGTATTTTAGTTTCAGGGATCTCTGTCTCTTCTGCTAGGATGCAGGCTTTACGAAGACAGAGATTTTTCTGAGTGAATAAGTGAATTTTTTCCATGTACCTGTGAGCTGAACTGCCTGCAATTAATGAACTAGATAAGGAAATAAAGCTATTCTGATGCCTTGTTATTTTAGTCATTTTCAAGATGTGTCTCCTCCCCAAGGGGGATGAGAAGAAATGCTTCTTTTCCCACTCCTGCGTCCCATCCAGAGGCATCTCCATGGTCGCCTCCTTCCCTCAGGTTCCTGATGGGTCTTCTCTCTCCCTGTTCTGCCCACATTCGTCTGTTCTCCAGACAACAGACAAAAAAATACTTTTAAACCATAGCAGACTTTTTATTCTCTGCTTAATAGCCTTCTTTGGTTTTGCACGTATGTTCCAAACAAAACCTGAGCTCCTCACTGGTCTGGCTCCTCCTACTTTTCCAGAATCACGTGGCTGCACTTCCCTCCTTGCCCTCCGTGTGGCAGGCGGCCTTGGCCAACTCGTCATCTGTCCGGAGTTGGCCCACATCTGTTGAATAAATGAAGACTCTTAAATTCTGTGACTTAATGCCTTTGGATGATTACAAGCAGTACCAGAAAGTCTGCCTCACTGTAGTGGTCGTGTGTTTTTCATTTCAGTGGAAATTGTGTTGTCAGTGATTATAATCCGCCATCCCTGGCAGTAACTGGAATTGTTAAACCACAAACCTAACGGTCTAGTTTAAAAAACAAATCCTGTTGGGGCGCCTGGGTGGCTCAGTCAATTAAAGTGCCCGACTCTTGGGCGCCTGGGTGGCTCAGTTGGTTAAGCGACTGCCTTCGGCTCAGGTCATGATCCCGGAATCCTGGGATCGAGTCCCACATCGGGCTCCCGGCTCAGCGGGGAGCCTACTTCTCCCTCTGATCCTCTTCCCTCTCATGCTGTTTCTCTCTCTCTCTCTCTCTCTCTCAAATAAATAAATAAAATCTTTAAAAATAAATAAATAAAGTGCCCGACTCTTGATTTCGGCTCAGGTCGTGATCTCAGGGTTGTGAGATCGAGCCCCACGTCGGGCTCCGCGATCAGCGCAAAGTCTGCTGAGAGATTCTGTCTCCCTCTGCCCCTCCCCCTGCTCCCTTGTGCATGCTCACTCGCTCTCTCTCTCTCAAATAAATAAATAAAAATCTTTAAAAAAACAAATCCTATTATTCCGCTCTCTAGTTTCCAGTCAAGACAAAATATTTTAATAAATTAGGAATGTATGCGTTCCACTTAGGAGTTGAAAAGAGAGAGAATTCATACCACGTTCCAGGCTCTCTCCAAAGCCACAACCAGGTAGGCACACTACTTGAAAACCTGAAAAGCTTGCTTATACATAATGTTTAAACCTAGTTAGAAGGGAATGAATTGACTTCATGGATCTGGAAGTGAGATTTTATTTTTTCATCAAGTCCATACTGACACTGTGGTGAGGAAGGACAGAAGAATCTGTTTTCTTGCCCTTGGACCATTACTTTGCTTCATTTTGCAGTCTTGCATGCTCTATATTCAGGTCGTTCGGTTCTGGGATGGCCCCTGGTTAATCCAAGCAGACCTGTGGGAACATGTGTCTAGTGGCCAGCTCTAAAGAAAATGGACCATCAGACCAGCTGGAGATCAGGAAACCGCCAGGATCCTGTGTCTGCTCCCTCCCTGTGTAGTCTGGGGACCTAGGCTCAATCCCACTGGAGTCACCCCAGTGCACCTTCCCTGTGCAGGTTTCTAGAGCAGAGAATCCCATCAAGGGAGGCACAGAGATGGAAGGATCATCAGAACCCAGGGATGGTCTGGAAAAACAATTCTAAAACTACTGCTTTGATTTTTTTTTTTTTTAATCATGATGATTGATTTATTTTTGAAATAAAAGATTTGGGGTTTTTATGGGGTTTTTTGTTTTTTTTATTTATTTTTTTAAAAGATTTATTTATTTGAGAGAGAGAGAGAATGAGAGAGAGAGAGAGAGCACATGAGAGGGGGGAGGGTCAGAGGGAGAAGCAGACTCCCTGCCGAGCAGGGAGCCCGATGCGGAACTCGATCCTGGG